TTAAAGGCAACGCTACCAAATACTGAGGAGATGGATGGAAACCTCTGACTTTGAAGAAAGTAATAAAAAATTCTCTTTCTCATTATTCTGGAGTTTAGCAAATAGAAATAATGTTGGTAATCCTAACTGACCTGAAACAGGAAAGGTTTAGTCTGATTTAATGTCAGTCAGTGAGAAATAAAAGTTTTCATGTCTTTTTAATCAGTGGATGTAAACTTGTGGTTTCAGCAGTTTACAGACAGGCCAGAAACAGAGGAGTTGGGTTTAACAAGAGAAGGAAAAAGTGGTGAAATGGGAAAAGATTTACAAAATAAATCAACAAAACAAACACCATGTAGAACCAGAAACTTTGCTGTTTTGGATGTTTTACAGGTTAAACAAATGATTAATTTATTGAAAATGATCTGGAAATTAATCAGAAATGCAAACAATAGCTGGTTGCAGCTCATCAAAAATCTTTTTCACTTCACACCTCGTTTTTTTTTCCCTCCACGTTAAACCTTTAAAACGACTCTTAGCTCCCCGACAAGAGGCGCTCAAACCTCTGCAACCGTGAATCAGCTTCTTCATGTCCATTAGCGTCCTTTAAGAGTCGTCTGAGCCGATGGCTGCAGCGGCGTGGGCAGAAACGACGCTTAAAACGGAGATAAGAGTTGCAGAAAAGCATCGAGTGGGTGAAGCAGGGAGAGGGGAAAAAAATCCCCCCGAGGAGCTGATGGGAATTATTCATGACGAAAGCAACAACGCACAATATGTGGGAAAAACCAAACGCTTAAGAACGGCCGAGGACAGGGAGCACGGTGCCGCAGTAACTATTCATAAGCAAGTTAAAAGTAAATACATGAGAGGAATCAGAGACTGCAGGGAGTTTGTCTTCAAACCAGAGATGTGTGGGTGAGGAGCTGCTTAACATAATCTCATGCTCGGTCTGATCGCTATCAAGCTGCTTTTTAAAATAAAAAAACTCGCTTATGCAGAAAGACTCCGGCTGTTTTATGTTGTAAATAACTTCTCACGACACTTTGGTTCGTCAGCGTCACAGCGGCTCGGTGTCAGAGGGGAAACGTCATCCGGTCAGCTGCCTTCACTTCACTTACAAACGGAGGATTTTTTGTGATTTCTGCTGCAGAAAAACAGGGAAAAAAAAGTCTTTGTCTTCCTGCAGCAACAGTCTGGTGTTTGAATGTGGGGATGTTTTGTCACGTGAAAAGTAAGAATTTGTACAAAAATCATCCTCAAGTAAAGTCGGTTTTAGTAGCTCAGGTGGTTTATTATCTACAATAACTTCAGTATATTTAACAAAGCAAAGTTTTACCTTCAGACTATGAATGTTTCATTGTCAGCTTGTGGCACCTGGATGGAAAACTGGTTTGGTTGCAGTTTCTAACAGAGCTTAAGTGTGTTTTTCATCTGTGAAAATGTCGTGTTTCAGATGTGTCCAGAATGTCTCCAAACCTCTTTGAATGACTCTAAACTTGCCCAGAACGATTCAAAATGTGTCCAAGCATTTTTCTTTCTTTTTTCTTTCTTTCATTTTCAGTCTTAAAACTTTTCCAAAATGTCTCAGAATTTTTTTTAAAAATAAAAAACTTCTTAAGAATGACTAAAAACTTGTCGACATTATCATGAAACTTTTGCAAAATAACTCAAAACTTGTCCAAAATGTCTTGAAAGATGTCCAAAATGACACATTGACCAAAATGTTGTCTTAAACAGTTCCAAAACTGTCCGAAATGTCTCCAAACGTTTCGTAACTGTCTTAAGACGTTAAACAAATTTGTCGAAAATGACCAAAGCGTCTTTAAGATGACTCAAAACTTGCTCAGAGTGATTTAAACTTGTCCAGAATTACTCAAAGCATATCCTAAACCATTCTAAACGTGTCCAAAATGTCTAAAAACGTCTCCAATGTGACCCAAAATTACTTTTAAACAAGTCCAAAATGTCTAAAACAGTTTAAAACTTGTCAACGTCATCATGAAACTTTTGTAAAATAACTCAAAACTTGTCCAAAATGTCTTGAAATGTACAAAATGACACAGAAATTGTCCAAAACTACTCAAATGTTGTCTTAAACAATTCTTAATGTGTCCAAAATGTCTTGAAACGTACAAAACGACAAAAAATATCCAAAATGACAGAAGCCTCTTTAAAATGACTAAAACCTTGTCCACATTTCAAAACTTTCCCAAAATGACTCAAACTCTGTACTAAACAGTTCCAACCTTGTCTTAAATGTCTTGAAACTTCTCCAAAACTAAACAAAATGACTCTAAACTTACAAAATATCTTGAAACTTTTCCCGAAAAAACTCAAAATTCACTCAAAATAACAAAAAACACTTTAGAATGACCTAAAACTTGTCCAAAATGATTCAAAACTCATCCAAAATGTCTCCAATGTGACCAAAAGTGCCTTACGACATGTCCTAAATGTCTTGAAACTTTGACCAAATTCGTCCAAAATGACTAAAACCTCTTGAAAATGACTCAAACTTGTCTGGAACGTTTTAAAATGTGTCCAGAATATCTTGAAACTTTTCCAAAATGACAAAAACCTCTTTAAAGATGTCCAAAGCAACCTGAAATAACTCAAGACTTCTACAAAATAACGGAAAACTTGTCAAAAACCGTTCAAAAGTCGTCCAAAATGTCTAGAAACATGCACAAAATGACGCAAAAACTGTCCAAAGTGACAGAAATGTGTCTAAAATGACTCAAATTCTGGACTAAGCAGTTCCAAACTTGTCCTAAATGTCTTGAAACTTCTCCAAAACTAAACAAAATGACTCTGAACTTCCAAAACATCTTGAAACATGTCCCAAAAAAACTCTAAATTCATCCAAAATAACAATAAACTCTTTTAAATTTCTCAAAATGTGTCCAAAACGTCTCAAAAAGTCTCCAGAGTGACCAAAGGTGCCTTCAGACACACAACATAACTGGTGTTTTTGTTCTTTTCTGACTTTTTACTGGTCAAACAAATGATCGGTGCATTGAAACTGATCAATAATGACAGTTGTCGTTCTCTTGTGTTTTTCATCCACGTTGAATCTCCACGATGACGGTTTTTGTCTTCTTCTCTTCAGGACCTTTCATCGAGCGATCCATCATAACCAGTAGAACCAGCGAAGCCGTTTGGTTCCACAGCGAAGACGTTTTACCGAAACCAGCAGAGACCGCCAAGGAGTCAAGTTAAACCCTGTAAATATGATCAATATGTTCATGTCCTGAATAAAGAGTTGGATCCTGAGCACTGCTGCCTGTTTGTCTTTTTTAAAAAACAAATCCCAGGAGATCGGGATGGAGAAACTTTAACAGCATGAAGTGTTCGAGGAGGAGCAGCTGTCAGGGCTGAACAATGGAACCAGCGCTGAAGGAGATAAAAGTTTGTTGGGTTTCACTGGACGAGCACAAAAAGATGTAAAACAACCCAAATGTGCCGCAAAACGACAAAATTAGCACAAAAGCTACCAAAACGACCACAAAAAGACACAAAATAAACACAAAAAATACCAGAACGACCAGAAAAAGACATAAAACCACCACAAAGACCGACAAAACTACCAAAAAAAGACATAAAATTAACACAAAAACTACCAAAACGACCACAAAAAGACACCAAATTAACACAAAGACCAAGAAAACGACTGCAAAAAGAAGTTGTTTCTCGTTTTGGTCTGTCTTTCTCTGTTTTGTGTCATTTAGTTTGAAGTTTTTTAGCGTTTCTTTGGGGCAATGTTATGGTGTGTTGTTGTTGTTGTTTTCTTCTCATCTGTGTCATTTTGTGTTTCTCTTCTGTTGTTTTTTGTTATTTTGTGTCTTTGGGACTTTTTTTTTCTCATTGTGGTTATTTTGTTTGCCGTTTTTCTCATTTTGCGTCGTGTTTTTTTTTTTTGTCCGGTTATTTGGCAAATTGTGTCTCATTTGTCTTGTTTTGTGTCTCTTTTTTGCTTTGTGTCTAGATTTTGTGTTTAGTTTTTCTGGTTTCGTGCTGTTAAGTGTTGAGTTTTAATCGTTTCATGTGTCTTTGGAACAATTTTCTATCCTTTTGTTGTTTTGTGCTCATCTTTGTCAATTTGCGTCACTTTTGTGTGTCTTTGGGACATTTTTTTTCTCATTGTGGTCATTTTTCTAATTTTGCGTCCCTGTTTCTGTTTTGTGTTTTGTTTTTTGTCTGTTTTTTAGCATTTTGTGTCTCACTTTTCTTGCTTTGAGTCTCCATTTTTTTGTCTTTGTGTCTAGATTTTGGCATTTATTGTGTCATTTTTCTTCTTTCATGCTGTTTTGTGTTCAGTTCTCGATGCTTCATGTGTCTCTGGGACAGTTTTAGTCTCTTTGTGGCATGAAACTACGATACATCCCATAATATCGCTGTTTAAAGTTGATCATTGAAAAAAATGAACCAAAACCAGATTCATTCTTTAGACTGTGACACCTGGATGGATGTAGAACTGATCTGGTGTCAGTTTTTACCAGAACTCTTGTCGTGTCCGTCTGCTGGACTGATGAAGTTCTGAGGCTCAGAAATGATGGAATGTAGATTGTGAACCTCCTCTGTAGACTTTAAGGGCCTGAAACTGTGAAAACATTCACAGTATGAAGGCAAAACTGCACGGCTTCATGAAATCAACCAAAGTGACTGCAGATGAAGAATCAGCTGCTTCTGATGGAGGTCTGGTGGATTTTTCTGCAGATTTAGTTGATTTCATCTGGACTGAAGGGAGTGCTTTGGTCTGAAGGGAATTATTTTTGCTCATTTTGCAGCAAAACAACATTTAGTTTGAAGACTTTCTGACACAGAGCTTGTTTGTGTTTCCGTCTGCCCGAGGAAACAACGAAGCTGTTTGGTGTGTGAGAAGCTCAGCTGGAGTCCTGCTGCAGACTTCTTGCCCCGAGGGTTCCTGGGAGGTTAAAGCGCTGGTGTAGGTGTTAAGCAGGTGTACCGCTGCTACCTGGCCAGCAGGAGGCAGCGTGCGCACAGCTTCTGCTTCTGCAACCTGTTGCTGCTCAGCCTGAACAGCAGAAGTTCAGCGTTTCCCTTCGTTGAATCTTCCACTCGAGCGTTCATGGAGGCGTGTGGGAGCCGCCGACGCTCACAAGTGACTCATCCTGAGCGGGTTTATGGTTTACAAACTCTCCCAGAGCCTCCAACGTCGGCGCCCTGCGACTCCTGCTGGCATTTAAACCTGTGATTTACGTCGACGCAGCAGCGAGTCTGAAGGGATTTACTCACAAATACAACCGAAAACAAAGAAAAATACAAAGTTTAGGTCCTTCTGTTCTGTCTCCTGCAGCTAAATTGAATTATTTATGGAGCGTAGGAATTAACAAGCAGGCCTCCAGTTAAAGCTGTGAGTTTAAGGCTGTAACTGGCATTGGTTTTTATTTTACACCTAAACTATTATTCATCTAATTGTCTGAATTTTTAAATACGAAAGTAAATGTTTTTCTCTGCGACAGGAAAACAAAAAGAAAAAAATAAGAGGCACAGGTTAGTATGAAAAGAAAGTATTTCTGTAAATAAAGAGCTGAGTGGACGTAAACAACACAAAACGCCCACAAAGAGACAAAAGAGCAGCATGACATGCAAGAATGAACAAAATAAGTCATGAAACAACCACAAAAAGATGCAAAATGTGACAGAAAACGACCACAGAGATCAACAATACGAC